TTAGCAAGGTGCCACTGCCTCTTGGCTTTCCAAGGATGAATGGCACTTGCAGTCCTTCAAGCATCTCCTGCCCTGCCCTCACCCTGCCCACAGCCCATGTTGGAGAGGGGCTGTGGAGGGGTCAGGTCCCAGGTGGAAGTAATTCCATCCATTGATAGCACAGCTACGCAGAGTTTGTGCTTTGCAGAATTAGTTTTTTCGATCACAATCTTTGTAAGCCTAGACTGCCACTCATCTCTCCAGGAAGAGGATTCCTTCAGGGAGCAGGTCATTATGAAAATGCCCACATATCCAGGAAAGGCATGCCATTTTCTTTTGGAAAGCTTCAGCTTGCCACAAAAACAGTGGTGAAATCCTGATGTACTCATAATCAAGTAAGAGCTGGAAATTTTTAAGGTGAAAAACTTTAATAAAAGACCACATTGATGATATTTAGTCAAATCTGACCCTCAGATTACAGTATCTTTTGCTACTTCTCAAAAAAAAATTAACAACTTTTATTGAAACTGAAAAAAAAAGTCTAGTAATAAAACCAGCAGTCCAAAAAAAGCTAGACAGGAACAAGTAATATTTCTTACTAACAGCTTCTAGATGTCTGAGGAAATACTGTGCCACCCAAGCAGACAATAAACCAAATTTCTTTCGAGCTAACATTAGCAATTAACAAAATAGTCTTTTTGTTTTTTGAGTAAGAGCTACACCAAAGGAAATAATGCAAAATGCATGGGAAGAGTTTAATTAATATCCCTAAACACCATATTCTTGGAGACCCTAGAAACAACAGGCATATATATTAATTAATTGGGTAAAATTATCTGCTTAGTTAAATGGATGTAATTATTGTTAAATTAGTTAAATTATTGTTATTAGTTAAATGGATGTAATGTCTTGAGGTCTATGTTTTAAAGTCCTTTCACTGCTTTAAAAAATATCTGGGACAAGTTTTTCATTGAAGAGACTAGAATTTTGCTTGACCAAAATGTCTAAGCAAAACCTTTCTGAGAGATTCAGCATTTAGTTTGCTAATTCATGTGGACAGAATCTAGTCAATAACAGGAAAATACTTTCAAATAGTTCTATTTACCCAGAACCCACATACAGAGGAGAAATCAAGTGGTGTTTTTTTTCAGATAGAGGCTTATTTTGAGTGACACTAAAAATGGTCATGATGACACATAAATCAGAGCTTAAAGGAGTAAAAGAAAGTGAAGTAGTGAGAATGCAGAGTTAAGTCAGAGGTGAAGAACCAAAGGATAAAATGTAAGGCAGGGTATAGGTATTGAAAAATCTTGCAAGAGAAAGAGAATTGTGTCAAAAATTGTGGAATGTCCTCTGGAGTCATCATGAGACCCAATAAAATGAGTTGTTAATAGGAGAGCAACTATTCTGGTTGGGAAAGAACTGCATCAAGAGATGAGACTCTGTTCCTGTCAGAAAGATACTTTATTCTACTTGGCATGCTCAAGTGTTTTCTTCCCCATAAAAAAATTAAAAAGTCAAGAAAATCACTTAAGATTTGACAATACACTGATAGTTAAAGGACAGCTTTAGATTTATGATATGGTTTCAATCAAGTCCAATCAGCTCAGACTTGTATATTTTATCCGTGCTCCAGCCGTAGGGATGCTGGCTGCTCTGATAAAATTAAATTGATTTGTTTCTCTCAGTTCCACACAAGCTACATCCTGCTTTGTCACATTTGGCTTCTGATAAAACACCACTGGCACACTGTTCCACCTCAAAATGCTGCCTGTGGCTCAGGCCTTTTTTCCCTAAGGAATGACATAAACCATCCATGAGATGAGATATAGACTCATGTAGATTTAGACAGAAGCCAGTTGTTCTGATGACTTTTTTTTAGTTAAAAATTACAGAGCTGGCATGAAGGAAGACCTCATGTGTTTCAACTCAGTGCCACTGGCACACAGTATCAATGCTCTCAAGACTGTAAATAAGGTTTCTTGCTGTGCCTTTAGAGCATCTGGGAATACTGAAATTCCTTCTCTTCTGCATTTTTCCCTTCTCCTTCTCCTACTCCAAAAAAACCAAGACCCAAACCCAATGTACCATTACATCCATAAAGAAATGAGTAGTGGGTATCAGTTCTTAAAATCTCTGTCTAAAACATGAGAATTGGGATTTAGGCTACCCTGTTGGTCAGTAGCATTTACTTCTGGAGCTTTTTAGGCTTCAAGCAGTTCTCTGCAAGAAGGCAGAGGCACATGTGTAAGAATTCCATTGGTCTTACTCTGAACCACAGTGCATGCTGCTGTTTTTTCTCTTCACTGGAGGTAATAAATTCCCCGAGATCAAAACTGTTGATCTGAGCCAAATTTGTGATCTATTCCAGTTCTGTTCCTCATGGCTAACACTGTGGACTTTGTTCAGCTGAGATATCTTCTATGTGAATGTCAAATGTTGTCTTCATACAAAGCTTCCTTGCTTAGCATCAGAAACTGATAACACAGCCATTGCTTTCTCCACTGTATGCACTCAAGGCAAAAATTCCCTTTGATGATCTGTGAACTGGACCATGATCCAACATGGGCTACTGTGAATGCTCTAGTCATCCACCTACTTTGTGAAAATCTGCCAGCTCTTGATAACTGCTTGAAAAACCTTGTTTAGAGATCCTATACAAATGAAATGATGTGTGTTACAATTTACAGTTTCTTTTGCTTATCCAAGAAGTTCTCTAATAGAATATAGAAATATTCTCTTGTTTTCATTGGGACTCTTTTCACTGTACAGAAAAGAATATCTCTTCCATGCTCACTGGCAAACCAGCTTCCTTTTTCATTGCTTCCACATTTGAGTGGCAAACTAATGGTGTGACTACTCAGCTGTCTCAGGTACTCTTGTAGTGAGTTTTTTTATGGTTTGAGCACTGTTGAACAAGAAATACGATGAATTTTGCAAAGCTAAATATTCTGCTCAGCTAGTGCAAATTTAATTTGGTTTCCACAGTTTCTCAAAATACAGTGATGTATTATCTTTTCTCCCAGAATTCCAGCACACACATTAGTTGTAAAATGAGCTTGATCTGAAGCTAAATTATAATGTTGCATTGAAGTAAGTTTTTACTTACAAGACATCTATATCATTTGCAGCAGGAGCTGTAGAGATTGAGAAGGGCAATTATAAGAAAAAAACCCAACCCTTCAATATAGTGTTCTCTGGAAAATTGACTCCCTTTCACGGGAATGCTCAGAGCAGAAATAAATCAGGGTGTATACATCCCTCAGGTCCAGTGCTGATGGGTATGGAAGAAAAGTCCATGAAAAAAGGTCTTCTGAAAAGGCTTTGGATGGTATGCAACAATGTGCAACAAAATTTGAGCAAAGAGGAGAAAAATATGGAATAGCTGTTTCTGATGAAAATCTGTGTTCTCTTATTCCAATAAATCGTAGGATGGTGCACTGAGGAACATAGAAAGCAATTAAATAATCCCATCTTTATAAGTATGCACATGTGAATGAAGTTACAATTCCATTTCATCAGAAGTTCCACAATTTCTTAATATATGAATACAGCTTTAGAAATTCTAGGGTCTCTTTTTTTTCAATAATTTCTGTGTGTGGTGATATGTATATATATATATCTATATATCTATATCACACACACATACAAATATATATGTATATCTGATTTAATGTTTCTTCTTAATGAGATTTGAAAGCTACTTAGTAATGTGCCTTGAGTCCTTAGAATTAAAATTTTCCTTTATCTTTGTGGAGGAGGATGAGGTGAAGCAGAGTACTGAGAGTGTTAGGCATTATGGAACAGTTGACACTAAAATGGAAAATAATAAGAAAAAAAATGTGACACATCTGGCAATAATTAAACAGTATTAGATAAATAAATTTATAGGGAAGTTTAAGAGTTAAAATAACTGTTGGGATAAATGACTCTGTAAACAAACATTTTTCTGAGTAAGATTCAAATGAAGGACCACTGGGAATGCTAGTGAAACACTGTTTCAGACACTTGAATGAAAATTTATGAATTGTTGAAAAACATTTCATCTGGATTTCTGAGAGGGCTATATGACATTTTTTTGGTCTGGGGCAATTAAACCTGTTGCTTTATAAAAATATAAGAATACGATTCTCAGTTAATCTCAATATTTTATCAGACCTCTAGATTAATGTTTGTATAATTTTTAATGTGGCAATTTTAATTATTAAAAAATTAGAAAACCAGATGGAATTACAAAACAGCAACAGATTACTTAATTAACTTTTGCTATTGGGATAAATAGAACATACCACAGAATATATCAAAGCAGACACCAATGAGACACTATACATCCATTAGTATGCAGGAGGTTTTCTCTTCAGACAGCAGTTCTTATCAGACATAAGCATATGCCTATACATCTTATTGAATAAACCCAGCAACTCCTCATGTTATAATCCACAGCATATAACATCATGGCAAAAACCTGAAGAAGTACTCTATGATGCTCCTTGCAGACCATTGAAATCTCCCACTAAGTACGTGAGGGGGAAAAAAATGAAAAAAAATGATTGCTATCATTTTATGAAGTAGTATAACATGTAAGTTAGTCTGCAAATACTAACAAACATCCTTCAGCTGTGAAAGGGCCTTAAACAAAAAGTAATCAAAACATCAGATTTTAAAATTGTTGATATATTTGTCTAAGCATATCACAAATACTCTGTCAGCTCCATTGCCTGATATGTATTACATACCTGGGTAAAAATAGGAGTGAATCAGATGAAGAGCAGATCTGTAAACCCATAATAATATAAATCTTCTTTACTTATATGAAACATCCTTTGAACTTATTGCAGTACTATGTAGATTTTTGCAAATTCTTAGTATAATTTGCAAAGATGTTCTCTGAAATAAAAATTATTTCAAACAGGATTCCAGAAGCTCTACAATTGCTTCTTTAGGAAAGAACCCCAGCTGATGACTTCCAAGATTCCCAGTAAAACTGATGATAATTATTGCACACCAAATACGTTCCTACATGATGTGCACTGATACCTTTTTATTTAATAAAAATGAGTGTCACCATATATATGTGCATACATTTGGTTATTGCTATCAGAATTAAAAGCCTGCAATTTAAACCCAGCCTATTAGAAAAAGGGCTCAGCAGACCCACACAAATGGAAATGACTACTTGCCACAGGTTTTTAACCAGGCTTTGAAACAATGTGTTTGTTAGTACCTTCAGATTAATATCAGTTAGTTTTTGAACAGTTTCAATCTCATGCTAGATGATTCAAACCAGATGAAAATAAAAATGTGTTACCCAAAACAAAAGAATACAGAAAATACAGTATTGTAGTATTTACTGAAAAAAATAACAAAAATCATGTTTCCTTTTTTTTTTAACAGCATTAAGTAATCAAACTTAGGCCATACAAGCATCAAGAAATGTAAGTAACTGTACTATTAAGGTGGTATCTACAACTTTTTTAAACGGGTCAAAATCCAAAACCACAAATGTTGTCTGCCTCACTTAAAAATCATTCAAGTGCCTTGCACAGTATGTAAATAAATTGATAGTAAATGACTGCTATGAAACATACATGCAGTACCTGAATTTTATATTTCAATACCTCAGGCCCAGATCATCAAAGCATTTAGGTTTCCACTCCTCAAGGAAGCTCTGGGTCTCCATGTATATTAACCCCTCCCCTGAAAGGAGTAACTGGTTTTGATGGTGTGAATTTATAGTGTTGTCTTTCCCTGGGCAGGGAGGGAAAGGGTCAATTTTACAGAAAGAATGGTTCCAATAAGCAGAAAGTTTATGGACTGCAACTATATGAACCACCTTCCCTACACAACATAAAAATATTCTAATATTAAGGATTATTTTACAACTCAGTGGAAATATGCAGTAATGCAATTCATTTCCTTTGTCTGGATGACAAAAATGCAGTCTTAACAGTCACAAGAACCCGCCTTGTGTTAGCTATAAAAAAAAATATATTTATATATATATTTATGCAACTACTATGTGCATTAAACAAAACCACTGTATGAATCAGCAGGGTTCAATAACACTTGTATCTGAATCTCTGAAAGGGGTGCATTGAAGTCTATGGTGCTTCTCAGTAAGGACTCACAATGAAATGGTAAAGAATAGAAACCCATTTATTTTAAATCTTATTTTTCTTACCCCATTGCCTAAGAAATGGTCCATAAGCTCTCTGGCAGCTAAAAGGATCTGTTGCCTTTACTTCAACATACTGCTGAGAAATGAAAAATACACCTTAATACAAACCTGATAATTCACTTTTTAGGGAACAATGAAATCGAAAATCAGCCAAACATCATTGTGAACTCCCATGAAATAATTCCACCATCATGAAAATTCTCTGCTGTCTTCAGTTCTTACCAATCTGTGTATCATGAGTTGTTTAGCAGCCTAGTAATCAGCAATGTACAAGAAACATTGTATTATTCCTGGAAAGCATTTACATTTTGACTCACTCAGGTTGGCAGGTCGATTAAGAATTGAAAAGTGTATTTCACATCTGCTTATATAAATGTTGGAAAATTCCTTTGCTTCTTCTTTACCTGTCTTAAGATACTTTTCTCAATCACACTGTGATCAATGCCCTTTGCACTGGAATGGTACAGATTTTTTCCTCAGTCTGAGATAACAGAGAAGAAGACTTGAACCAAAGGGCAACACCCTTGCACACCAAAGCTTTATTATATTTCTGATTACTGTGCATCCCCACACCTAAAGCAAATAACATGGCTCTTGTGCCATGGCTCTGATACTGTAGGTGTCCACTGACAAGTGTTCTGCATGAACCATTGTGTCTCAGTCCACTAACAAAAACTACTGTGCAGTAGTAATCTGGTATCTTAGATAGTTTTTCTTCTTGGACAAAGTTTATCCAGAATCTTCTTTCTATCAGGCTACAGCAGCTTAGGGCTCCTTTTCTTTAAAGAGAGGCAAAATAAATGTCTTACACCTGTAGGCCAGTACTGGTGCTCTGTCCCAGAAATTTTAGCACTGCTCTGATACGATGAACCCTTCTTTTTCTCCCACTGGTTCCACCTCAGCATAGGCAGGATGTCCAGATCCTCTTCTGAATTTCATTGCTGGCCATCTGCTTGGACGTCGCTACAATGGCAATAAAAAAAGAAACTTTTAAGAGGGGTACTACAATAAATTTTTAATAAAAAGACCTAATAATATCTTGCAATTTTGACCTCTCATACTACCTGGGTAGTATGAGAGGTCAACCACACTCCCTGTAGTTGTTACAGGAATAGAAAGGCACAGTTCAGCAGCAGCAAAAGTCAGAGGAATAAATACCTCTTTTTAAATTTATGGGGGATGACTGTTCTCAAACACATAACAATTACCACTACTCTTAGCAATGAAGAGGATGAAATAGCTCCTGTCTAAAATGGCTGATTATTGGATTTGTCACATAAAGAACTGATGCTCCACTAACCTCAAGAGGATCTGTTCAATGCCCTTCCTTCCTAGTTCTGCAGAGGAATTTTCCAATATACTCTATGCCATGGGAAAATATGTGGCAGAGTTGACAGGAACTTTAATTAAAAAATTATTTAGGATAAAATTCTGGCACGCTTATGCAGGACTCTCAAAATAATGACTTCCTATTTCAAGTGCCATAATTTCTACTTGAGTAGTTTACTTTGATGGTTCAAATAGAAGCAACATTTTTACTTAAACTCTTAAGAACTTTGAGTACGAGAGCCTTAAGAAGTCCTAACTAGTTTCCACTAGGATCTTGGGTGTCTGCTTTAAAAACAGTTAATAAGCAGAGAAAAGAAACAGTTATTTTCTAGGGTAGATAAAAAAATTCCTGTATTATTATGATATCTCTAGGAAGGAAAAGTGCTTTAAACAATCTGTATTTTCAAATGAATTAATGTCAGGTAAGGCTCAGTATTTGGGTGACCACTCTGAGATTATGTCAAAGGGAATAGCTTTCAGGAAAATAGGGAAACTCCTTCATAGAGTCAGTGAGAAGAAAAATCTTTCCTAAAAAAATTTTTCCCTATTGAAAATTGTATCTGCCAAATATACTGATTTATTTCTCTTTACTGACAAGAGTTACAATCTGCTTGGAAAGAGGGCTAGAAAGACAGAAACTTATATAGAAACATTGCAGGAAAATGAGAGAAGAATCAATGAAAACAAGTTACAGCCTATATTTTCATTGACAGCTCAAAAGCAAAATAATTTTACTTTATGATCTTTATTCTGAATATAAACACTGCATTTGATTTTCTGTCCCTATAATACCCCATTTTTATTTCCTTTCAATCACAAAGGAGACTTGATGCTGCTGAGGGGTGTTTTGGTGGCCACAATACAGCCACAGCCATGTTTTGCTGGGACTCATGGTGCTGCTGGGCAGGACTCACTAAAGACATCTTGAGGTGTCACTGGATCTTGTTTCCAACAAGCCACACAGCTGACTGCAGGTTCAGCACAAAGTCTTCCTCATTTTCAGGAAGATACCTCCTAAAAGCAACTGCTTCCTTTTCCTCCCATTGCAGGATCAGGTTACTTTTGAGGCATTCAGAGCTAAATTCTGTTTGGCAGGTGATTTAAAATGCCAGACTTTTCAGTGCAGCACCTTCCTACGAAATAGGAAGGCAGAACACTGTCTTCTTTAATGGATGTCTCTTCCTAACAAGAAAACTTAGTCTATTCAAACTTTGGAGAGTTTTTTCTACCAAAGCTTGATTCTGTGTGTTTTCAAAATTAAGAAGACTGTTTGGTTACTGCTAAAGAAAAAGCGTCATATTCTGTTCTCAGGCTCACTAAAGTAAATCAGGAAAAATGCTATTAAATATAAAGGGTTTATTTCAGATTTCCACTGGTACAAATGAGAAAGGAATTAGATGGAGAGGTCTCTAATGAAAAGGGAAAAGGAAAAACCACTGGAAAACTAGCAGGAAAGAATAACTAGAAATGGTATCAAATGCTGACACATAAGGACGAGCTGGGTTTTAATATACTAAGTTGCTTCCTAATTTAATTTTAAGGTTTATCTATTATTAGTTAGTACTTTGTTGCTACATTGATGATAGATACTAAATTTACCATTTTGTACTACTCTTTTTAATTGGCCTTTTCAGATGATTAATTATGGAACAGATGTGTATCAGTTTTAATGATACAAGCCATAAGACATAAATATGAGTGGTTTTTCCAGAAATAAAGCAAAAGACTTGAAGGTCATCTTCTAATATTGCAGTTACAGTTTTCTGTGGTTTCTTGTCACGTCTGAGGTGAGATTTTCCCTTTATAGTGATTGTTTAATTTCAGCTTCATTATGTGCATGGTAACAGTTTTAAAAGAGAGCACTGACAAACTATCAACTCATTGCCTTATGTAACCCCTTAAAAGCTGTAAAAATATTTTGGCTTTAACTGAAAAAAACAAGAGTAACTTGATAGATGTTGGGAGATACAAAGTTCCTTCATTTACTGAAGCAGCTCAGGAAATACTTAATGCATTCTTTTTTCTCTGTGAAGACTATTAAAAAACCAGAAAAAAACCCTACCCCCAAACAAACCAACCAAACAAAACACACCAAAAAACCCCACCAAACCCAAACCAAACAGGGAGAAAGCAAGCTGGGTACTTAACTAACTAATTCCCAATTTTAGTAGGAAAAAAATATATTTCTTCATCTGGAATCAGAACACTTAAAGGAAATCCTCTGAGCTGTGGCTGGAGAGTTGTAACTCCTTCTTCCTTTCAGGGTATTACAAAGCAGGAAAATGGGACTAGTATTTTTTTAAAATGTTTTGAAACTTCCTTGAGTTCACTATTTTAAGCAACAAAGTTGAGAGAAAAGCACTTGTGACCCTACATGACCAGGATGCAGAAGAAATATGTTGAGATACAGGGAAATAATTTATGAGATACATTAAAAAAGTTAGTTCCTATTAAAGATCAGTAAGATAAAGGGAAAAAAAATCCAGCAGTTGGATAATCTATGGAAATTGAGGTCTACCTTTCATTTTCCTACATTATGTCTATCTACACCATTGCTGGTGGCTGTGCAGGATGTTCGACTTCCTGCAGCAATACAAAGACTAAAATAAGTATATTTATATCTATCTTGCAGAAAAGACAGAATTTATACCATTTTACTTACTTCTTAGGGAAAACCAGAGGGGATTCTGCCTATTAAAACTATAGGGAAACTGAAGTGACTTCTCACTCCGATTGCAAGGAAAGATCTCCAAGTGTATTCTTCTTTTTGATCACTTTCCTTTTGACATCTTTCAATATCAGGGATTTTTGAGCCTTATAGGTCCTTGCTTATCCATGAAAATCATATTATCTCATTTAGATGTTTCAAAAAAGGGTTTGAGACATATCTGAGTGCAGTTAATTGGATACAATCTAAATAAAACTCAGTTGTTATGATCTGAACATGGTTTCTAGTGTTACAGTTGGTGATTTTTTACAGGTTGCTAGCTGTAGACGATCTTATTTCCTGCTGAACAGTAACCAATACTACAAGATCAGTTACAGGAGGATGGACAGTTGTGAAAAGTTGCATTGAAATACTGGTATCTGAAGATTGATTCCCTGCTTCTGGGAGTTTTTGGTGCTAACATTGTCTCTAAAATTTATGTAATTTAACACTTTTCTTCTGAGATGTTAATTTATCAAAAGCAATTGTAATAATGTATATTTTGTTAGCTGCAGCAATTTTATACTTTTACATTTCCTTTCATACATCTGTGTAAAGACAAGTTTCTACCAGTAATGGACCAAAGGAACTTGGCAACAGGTATTACATATTTGATATTTTTACATCCTAGCCTCTATTATTATCCTTAGTCTATATTTCCCTGAGTACACAAAAATGGAATGAGAGCAATTCTGTACAGAAGAGCGGTGAAGGAAAACAGTAATGAAATATTAGCCCCTCTGTCATCTCCTCAACCCTGCCATACACGTTTTGTTCCAAAAGATTTCTAAAACACTATCAAAAGTTTCTTTGTATCTTTCAACCAGCATAAAATCCCAGAGTGCTTCTGCATGCATCAGCTCTTCATTCCTATTCAGCAGTAAACTTGAACTGTGGATTTCATCAAGACGTGCACACTCTTTCTAAAACTGAATTTACTGAGTATAAATACTGAGTATACTGAGTACAAATACTTGACATAACATGAGAAGGTCAATCTTTCAAAGTCTTGACTCTCCAGAGCTCCCTAGTAAACTTGATTTACCACTAAACTACACAAAAGCTGAAGTTATTGAGTACCTTTTAGACTGAATGCTCTGGCACAACTTTGTCTCCTCTATGTATTGATTTTTCCTATATTTCAATCTTTCAAACTTCCAGAGGGCTGGTTCATTGTGTCTACTGAAGGGCTGCATCTTACATTTCCACTAATGTCAAATTCCTTGTCTAATTCAGGAGTATAGGCACATTTAAATCTATTTAAAAGCTGTACTCTTTAATCACGCTTTGTCAAGAAGGCCAATTTAATTCTGACAATATGGAAATATGCAAATATGGACTAATCAAAATTCTGGATTTATGATCAAAACTTCAGAAAAACTGTTATGACTTACAAAAATAGATTAAGAAAAAGGGAACAAAACTATAATAAGGTCTTACTAAATGACTAAATAATTAAATGTTAATCTGATATTATTCAAGGCTCATTAGTCCAAGTACCTGTCCAGTGTTAATCTGCCTCAGTATTCAGGGCTTTGGTTTCTTGTGAGAAGTAAAGATCTTTCTGTTACCAATTACCTTGACCATAACATGTACTTTTGTGCTCAAAGTTATCTGAAATTTGTGCGTGAGTCTTTAATGTCTTCTAGAAACACTCAATTTATTTGACAAATCACAGTCAGAAGTGGATGAAGCTACGAATATCTGAAACTATACTTCTGATATATATTCCCAGGAATAAGAAAAGAGCAATTGCCTGACACCATGTTAAATTCATATTTTGAAGAAACTGTTCTCAAATAAGGATTGCTTCAGACTTAAGATTTAGTAGAGCCATTTACAGGCTTCATTTATTTTTCCTTTTGATAGAAGTACTTGTTTAATGTATCTTTTTGTGATTTAAACCATCTTTCTATAACGTTTTTTG